CATTTCTAGTTTGGATAAATATTTCCAAAATGCCCGCTGAAATGGCTGCAGAGACCTACACTGCCTCCAAGAGCAAGTGCAGATGGTTAGTTCCCCCTCCTTGCCGACATGGGCTGTCACCACACTTTAAACATGGTGCCAATCTGATAGGCCAAAAATGCCCTCTCACTGCTGCTTAACTTCCATAAGAAGCAGTGAAATTGGGCATCTTTTCCTGCTTATTGATACTTTTTTTCCCCCCGGTGAACAGAATGTTCCTGTCCATTGGGTGTTTACCCATTGAACTGTTGTCTTCCTACAAATTTGGGCTTGTTCCTTGTAAACTGTCACATGTGTTGCAAATAGCTTTTCTGGGCAATCTTTTGTCTTTTGACTTTGTATGTAGTATTCCTGCAATGCTTCATGGTGGAGATAATGTTCAAGTTGAGTCCTGCGAGATGAGTAAGAACAATCAGCAACTCTAGCCTGGTGCTTCTTCTGCGCTGAGCACGCTTCTAAGGGCTTGATGTGTATTAACTCATTCATTTTTACAACAATCCTTGGAGGTGAAATTACTATTATCCCCACTTTAAGAGGAAGAAACAGAGGTATACAGCGGTTAAAGAATTTGTCCAGGGCCTCAGAGCTGCAGTGACCCACAGACAGGATTCAAAGCCATGAAGAGCTGTTTGCCAGGGAGCCTAGGAGAGTCAGCAAAGGCATCGAGGAATGAACAACACACATCAGGGGACTTCCAAGATGGGCATCAAGATAGGCTGCTTCAGACAGAGGGAAGGGAGACGAAGGTGGGGAGGGATGCGGGCCAACTGTACATGCCTTGGCAAGGGGTGGGTCAGTCTGGTCTCTCCACCCGGGGCATCGTGCCCTTGAACACAGTGTCCGTGTCTCAGCCCGATGTTATTAGCACTGTGCAGGACATGTCCAGGCAGCTGGAGAAAATGGAAATGCCCGTCAGTGTGCCTGTGCAAGGCCTGTGTGATGCAAGGCATTTTACAGCCTTAGCTCGTGACTCAATAAGCCTTTGTGGGTTCACTGAGTTAACTCCTGGGAGTCCCAGCTAAGGGTGGCCAGACCTTCTCTGCACAGCCCGCGTGCCATCCTGTGCACATGGGCTCTCTGCTTTGTGATGATCGGCAGCAGGTGCTTCTCCAGTCCCACCATTGCACAGAGCATTTCCGGGATGTTTCTGTGCTCTCAGTGGACCCAGAGGGTAACAGAACCAAGTAAGTCTGTGCCCAGAGGTCATGTAAGCCATTCAAAGTTAGACATAAATAATTTTGGATTATCTGTCCCCTGTCATTAACATATTTGTGTCCTTCCTACATGCAGGTGATGTAAGCCCTGTGTGATGGATGGAATATTCTAGAATATTCTAGAATTACCAAATGTGCATTCAGCTTCTTTCTCACAGTGCTTGGCCTCCAACCTAGCTGTGCTTGGCAATCTTCCCATAAGGTTTCTCATTGTTGAATCAGGAACTGTAGAAATACTGACTTCAGAAGCAGTATGTTGGGGAAGAAAGAGTCTTGGATAAGGAGACCAATATTATAATTTTGCAATATCACTTGGTCCCAGGGACAGCAGAATCCTGCCACCCACTCCCCATCCTATGCCTGTGACAGACATTGCTAATCAATCATACACTTTTGTCTAGAACCTAGATGTAGCCTTGGACTCCTCAAAATGGTGCCCCCAGGAAGCCTCCCCAGTTAATTGCATTTGGCTCTTGAAATGAAGTGTATCTGTCTTCACCAGCCTACTGGTTTAAGGCAGCAGTTCCAGAGTCAGACAAACCTGAGTTTAAATCCTGAGCAACACAGCCTCTCTAAGCCTCAATTTTCACCAGCAGAACACTCCTCAGAGAGCATGTGGGAAGTCAAATGGGGATGGTATGCCTTGAAAGCCCCATGAAAAACGCCAAGTCCAGTTACAGTGTCAAATCTAAAGAGTTACTTAGAATCTCTGGACTGCTCCCAGTTCCCTTTCATGAAAAATTAGAGGGAAAGACTAGGCCACTTCCAAAGTCCCTTCTAGCTCGTTCCATGGGACTGAGCTGTTTTCCTGCCACTCATTGATTCATTCAATGGCTTTTCCCCAAGTGCCACTTTGGGCCAGGCGGGCACTGTTCTAGGCCCTGGAATGAGGGCTCTGTTCTCTAGAGCTTCCATCCTAGCAGGGGGTAAACAGTAAACAAATTGTGTAATATCAGCAAGTAGAAGGGCATGGAGAAAAACAAAAGACAGAACAAAAAAACCAAAAACTGGCGAGGGAGTGCCCAGGGGCAGATTCCTGGGCTGCTGATTCTGAGGTGAGAAGTACTCTCAAGAAAGAGCCCACAAGAATGTAATCTGGTGCAGCCACTATGGAGGACAGTATGGAGGTTCCTTAAAAAATTAAAAATAGAGTTACTGTGTGATCCAGCAATCCCACTCCTGGGCATATATCTGGAGAAAACTAATTTGAAAAGACACATGGACCCCAATGTTCATAGCAGCACTATTTACAACAGCCAAGACATGGAAGCAACCTAAATGTCCATCAACAGATGATTAGATAAAGAACACACACACACACAGACACACACAGTGGAATACTACTCAGCCATAAAAAAGAATAAAATGATGCCATTTGCAGCAACGATGGACCTAGAGATGATCATACTAAGTGAAGTAAGTCAGACATAGAAAGACAAATATCATATGATATCACTTATATGTGGAATCTAAGAAAATGATACAAATTTTGTTTACAAACCAGAAATAGACTGAAGGACATAGAAAACAAACTCTAGTTACCAAAGAGGAAGTGGGGGGAGGGATAAATTAGGAGTTTGGGATTTGCAAATACACATTACTACGTATAAAATAGATAAACAACAAGGACCTACTGTAAAGCACAGGGAACTATATTTAATTTTTTATAATAAGCTGTAATGGAAAAGAATCTGAAAATATACATGTAGGTGTATATATAATTGAATTGCTTTGCTGTACACCTGAAACTAACATTGTAAATCTACTGTACTTCAATAAAAAATAGAATTAAAAAAAGAGAGACAGAGGCTGGGGGTCAGTACTTTGCCCTCTCAAAGCACATGGGAATTACAAGAAGATGCTGTGACTGCCAGCCCTCCTCCCACACCATCAGGGGGCTGCGGTCTCTCTTTTTCTGAGACAGACTTGGGTGGACCTGATCATGCAGAATTGGACCACAGACATATGTCCAGCCTTCTCTCCCCTTCTAGACTCTTCTTTGGGGGTGGGGTGGGGTGGTCTATCTGCATCCCCCAACCCTGTGCAGCTGAGGACTTCTGCTTGGTCACTGCTGCTCAGCATGTGAACAGAGGATGGCCCCTGGGCTGGGGAGGGGCAGAGGCTCTCTGTCCTCATTCCCATGTCCCTCCTCTCAGCCGGCCAGCATCCCGCTGAGCCCTGGGCACCCAGGGGCTGTCTTCTTCAGACACTAACCTCTGTGTCAGCAAGACGGGTTTCTCGCCCCTCACAACCCAGCCATAACCAGGATCTCAGTGTGCTCTTCTAAGCTACCGAAGGCTCAGCTGGCAAGAAAGGAGAGCCCACGGGGAGCTGGGTAGAGCACAGGAGGGCCCCGCTGCAGAGAGCTGGCCACACTGTGCTGCACGCGTCAAGGGTGCCACCGTTTATAACACATTGTAGATAAGTGGTTTCCCTGGAGTTGGTTTCGTGGTGGCCCTGGGATGCCTTGAAATGTGGAAGAGTAAGAAGATGGGGGAGGGGAGGAAATGTCTTCCTCTGATAATAAAATTACCCAGATTTCTATGGCTGAAGAAAGTGTGCGTGTGTGTGCGCGTGTGTGCGTGCGCGTGTGTGCTGAGTAGGGAGTTTGGGGTGAGGAAATACTCAGACCCTAAATCCATTTATATGAGAAATCTTTGCAGGAAAGAACCCCCTCAGTCCTAATATCAAGGCTCACAGAAAGGAAGAGAGGATGAGAGCTGTGGTCCCAGGTAGGAGTCTCCAGGAAGTGAGGCCCTCGCCTCAGGACACTGCTGACCACTGGCTGACAAGGGAGACGGCAGAGCCTTCCCTGGCAGGCAGCTGTCATGAGCCTTCAGAGGGCCCGCTGCAGGTGCCTGCCAGGAGGGACTTCAGAACCGGACAGGAGGGACGACAAGAGGGCCTTAAACATGCTCCAGGATGAAAACCCACAGGTAACCACCAAAGTGAGGGAGAAAAAGGTCCTCATCTGAACGGGCAAGGATGCTGAGAGGCCCAGAGAACAAGAAACAAATGTGGAAGTGGATTTGACTGAGGAACCAAGAAGGGAGGGAAACTAGCATTCCTGGGTTCATGATAGGGCTCCGCACTTTATATTTACTGAGCATTTATCACATGCCAGGAGCTATTCTAAGCTAATTTGTTTGTTATCTCACTTAATTTCCACATCAGCTCAGTGAGGTTAATATCCCCATTTTACAGATTAGAAAATGAAGGCTCAGGTGGGTAAAGCAGCTTGGCCAGGGCCTCTCAGCTGATAAGTAATGAGCTAGCACTCAAGAAATATTAGATAATTGAATGGATACATGAATGCAAAACTAATCTCTTTTCCTCTTGAAATATTGTCACAGAGTACTGGATCCTTGGACATGGTTTACCAGTAGTCCATCACAGTATTTGACAAAATCTCTTGAAAATTCAGGCAGAAAAGGCAGAAAACTGAAGGGTGTGTGATGGTTGGTTGGTGGGATTTGTTAACAGATCAGTAAGCCCGTAAAAAAGCCTCCAGTGGCATTTTATATTCATGCCTCTGTTTTGTCAAATGTCTTTAATTTCAGACTTGGATAAATGCAGGCTCGTTGAATTTGAAGAGGACGCAAGCTGGGAGAGAGAATCGAGGTGTAGAATGACAGAATGAGATTCCCCAGTGATGGCTGGGACAATAAATAGACAGGGGGAACTTTAACAAGGACAAAGGGAAAGCCCTGCCCCTGTGACTGCAAAGCAGCCGCTAGGCAGACTCCGTGGAGGCTTAGATGAGGAAGATCTGAGGACGGAAGAGGACTCCAAGTTCAGTCTGAGTTTTGTCAGTGGAACGTGGCCCCTTGAGACCCGCGTGCAGTCTGAGGTTCAGCTGACAGAGGTATAGTAGCCAGACAAGGGGGTCCCACGGTATTTCCCACTAATCAGACCCCATCTGGAGCCAGTTGGTTTTAAGCCTATATTAAGACGGACACTGAGCACGCCCAGAGAAGGGCATTTAGTGAAATCTCTGCAATCGACTTGACATTCAGGATGTAAAGAGGTGCTAGGGATGTTTCCTGAGAGGACTGAAGTCTTAGGGGGTAACTGTCTACAGTTACCTGAAGCGCTTAGCCAAGGAGCACCAAAAAGCCAAAGTACGATCAGTGAGCAAAAATCCTGGGGTGGAAGCCTTCAGAGTGTAGATGTTTACCACGAAGATTTTGTCCTTGAAATACCTGGGTTACCTAATGTCTTTGTTTTAATTTCCTCCTCTGTAAAGTGGAGCTAACAATAGTAAATCTTTCTGCTGGAATATTATGAAAAGAAATTGAAGTACGCATGTAAATTGAACAGCCTGGTGACTGACACACAGAAACCACCCAATGTGTTAGTATTTATTTTACTTTATAATGACTTACACTTAGAGCTAAGAGTGAAACAGATTGCTAGCAGAGGCAGTGACTGAGCTTCCGCTCACAATTTCTAAGTGTCTACAGAGGTGGTGTGGAAGGGATTCCATCACTGGGCTGGGGATGGGCGCGGATGCGTTCCTGTGTCTCTCTTCCACTTTTATTTTAAGGAAACCCCTCACCTCACCCTCGATCTCAGTTCATAGGATTTGGGTGAGTCTTGATTGCACGTTGAGACCCAGAGGTTGGCAGCAGACCCAGCCCTGGCCAGTGTATCCCCTTCCCGGTTGGGATGATTGGTTCGGGACCTGCCTGTGACCCATGTCAGTCCAACAATAGTGTCAGAGTGATGCTGAAGCTACTATGACAAAGAGGGTTTCTTTCTCCCGCGGTTGCTAATCTTAATCTCTCAGTGCCACTATTGAGAAAGAAGTCAAGAGAAAGAAAAGTGAATTTGAGAGATGGAGGGAAACAAATGCCTCATGACACTCCTTGAACATCTAGATCCGGCTCTTCCTGAAATACTCCTGGACATTTCAGTCACCCGAGTCAACACATTCTTCCTTTCCTTTAAGTCAGTGTGAGTTGGTAGCTGTCTCTTGTGACCCAGAGATGAATGGCCAAGCCTCCATCCTATTCTCTTTGGGAAGAGAGTTATCTACAGGAAGCTAGGGAAAAAATTATAAATTCCTTTGGGCATTTCCAGTCAAAACAATATGACTTACATGGGAGACCCCGAGTGAGAACCACCCATCTGAGAGCCCAGTCAACCCCCAGAACCATAAGACAGACTAATACTTAGAGGGGCTGCAGTAGGTTCCTGAAACACACACTGAACAACGGCGCCTCGAAGCCTCCAGCCCAGGGTGAGGCACTTTGTTTCCGGGCTCCTGGGAGGCACTAGCGGAGACACGGTGACTCTACATATGCAGCCTTTATAACCCCTGTGTCCACCTTCTTCCTGGTCAGTGCTTAGGGTGACAGCCCTTCTCAAATTCCAAAGAGTTTCTTTCATTCTTCTCCCTCATCCAATTCACCTCCCTCTTATTCATCCAACCTGTGTGCACACACACTCAGTGCTGTGCGTAGTAATGAGGGGATCCTGTTCCAATGTCAGGACACCCCCTTTCACCTTACTTCAGGGGGGGGGCATTCAATCAGGGAGGCTCTTCTGTTCCTGGAGTAGCTGTTACTTGTAATGAAGTTACTGATTAGGTAATATCTGTAAAATTAAAATGTATGTTTTTCATGGACTGAGCAATCCTGCAATAAGCATTTATTCTGCGGACACTCATGAAAGTTTGCTAAGATGTCTGCACAAGGATATGAATTAGAGCACTTTTGTAATGGGCAGGGGTCGGGGGGAGGAACAAATTGTCCATCCATAGGGACTGGTTGAGTAAATTATGGTACATCCAAATGATGGGATCAATGAAGTCAGACTGAAAAAAAGGGGAGAAATCTGTGTTGATCTGGAAAGAGCACTGGGATATCTTATGAAGTGGAAACAACACCCTTAGCACATTGCATAACTCTGCTGGGCACCGTCCACACTGTGTGCTCAGGGCTCCACAAAGCACAGCGGGCTTCGTATCCCACAGAGTTGTGTGTCCTCGGGCCATTTTGGTGTTAATAACATTTAAGCCCAAATGGATACGTAGGTATAAACATAATCTTTTTTCACCTGGGAAAGAAACAAAGGAAACTCTTCAAAGTGGTGCCCTTGGGAGAGCACCCAAAAAGTGGTGCCCTTGGGAGAGAAAGGGGGTGGGAGCTTTCACTTTTCATTTTGAACCCTTTGGTACGTATATATTATCTAATCAAGTACTTGTCTTCATTCACATCTACGGATATTATCTGATGGTGGCTGGGAGGAGATTCTGGGCCAAATTTGTTTTATTGTTTTATCCTTCTCTATTTATTTTTTAAACTCTAATGTGTGGTGCTTTTTTTTTTTTTAAGCCACTAACCTTTACCATACACCAAGCATAATTTTTGAAGATTATTCAAGTCATCCATTTTCCTCATGCAAAGTATCCATTTCTTTGTTGCAACGTTACCTCCTGTGAGATGCTTGTTTCTGCTTGTGAAAGAAGCCTTGAAATCCTTAGGCGAGCACATGCTTTCATCCGCTGTGCAGTTGGTGGAGGGTGGGACTGGGGTGGCAGGTGGGTGATGGCTCCTGCAGATAGCCGCCGTCCCCTGCCCTCCCCCAGCCTTGGTCAGCCCCTGCCAGGTGGCCTGAGCCATCAGCCTCCAGGCTCCTCAGTGCCTCTTCCTGCATGCCAGCTCCCAGGGTTTGTTTAGAAGAGGGAGATGAGTCAGCAGATCTGCCCGAGGCGAGGCTGGCCCCAGGCCAGCACGATGCCCTGCCTGGCTTCAGCCGCCCAACACCAGCAATAACTAGCAAGATGGAGTCCCGGCCGCCTCTCGGGTTTGGGAAATGAGCTCATCTCCTTTGGCTGCCCTGGGGAGACAGATGCCCCGCCAAGGGGAGCTAGTCTGGAGGAGGGGCTGCCTCCTCACCAGCACCATGGGGAGTTGGGGTGGGGCCACAGGGTGAAGTCTGAGCACCCCCGACTCTCCCATCTGATACCATCTTCTAGGCAAGGGCAGCTCCTGATATGGCCCCTGTGCAACGTGGTGGGCAGGGACTGCTTCCTGCATATGTCTCAGCTATGCCTTCTGTTCCATTTCCTCTGCCTCTTCTTGGCTAGAGTCCACAACTCTCAAAAGCCAAGTGACTGGAGGAATTAAACAATAATTCAGGTAAATCAGTGAAGTGGGAGACTTCCTCGCTGCCAGCCCTGCATCACTGTCTCTTTGTAGCATCTTTTCCCGATGGTCAGTCAGGCTGAAGGACTTCACCTCTCAAACCCTGTACACCTACTCAAGCCCCAATCACCTCTTCTAGCGAACTTCCTCTGCACCCAGGCTCTTCCATGAATCTTCCAATGAACTGGCTGGAATGGTCACTCTTCATTCCAGCGGTCCTCTAAGCACTGTTTGGCTTTGTGCCCCTGCTGACAGAAGACAGTGCTCTCTTATCCCAGTTTTCATGGTTTGACCTTCGGAGTAGCTAGAGGGTCCCCAGGACACTTTGTTACTTTCCATGGTTTCACTAGCCTGGAATTTGAACTACTCCTTTTCAGAAGCAGAGATGTGTTCTTCTCGTCCTTCAAGGAGAAAGACCCCAAGACTTCAGATACTGGGTGTCCCCTCGGTATGAACAGCAAAGGTCAACAGCAGCTTCTGCCCGGGACTCTCCACTTCAGAAGGTATGAGTCCCCCTTGTCAAGAGAGCACAAATGCTGGTACCATCGGGTGTTCATGAGGGAGACAATGCTGTTGACTGCTGTCTGTCAGGAACGATGCTAAATACCAAAAGAATTTTGATCTTATATAATCTTCCCAACAATGCTGAGTGGAAGCGTATTTGCCCTTCATAGTGGAGGGAACTGAAGTTCAGAAAGATCTGGTGATTTCCTCGGGTCACACTGCTTAAATAGAGCCCCCGTTGGTCTCCTGCTAACCCCGACTGCCTCTTTCTGGGTAAATGAGGTAACACCACAGACTAAAGAAGTAAACAACTCCTTAATTAGCAGACTGAATGTTCAGATAGACCCAACTTGCCGCCCCCATGGATGCAAAGCGAGCAAGACCCAGCTTCCCGGTTCACTCACAATGGGGGCCTTGTGCCAACACGGCAACGAGACGGCGAGTCTCTACCTGCAGCAAATACCGTCCCTGCCCTGCCCTTGATTCCCATGAAAGTTTACTAAGTTGGATAGAAAGAGAAACCAAAGAAAGCTGCAAAGCCCCTTTCCAAGGCTCCAAAATTCAGAGCCTTTAAGCCAAAGGCCCGGCTCACTTGGCTCTCAGTGTTGGCAGATGTAACTGGGAGACGACCCCTGTCCTTTGGGGCCACGTGGGCCCTGGTCCCAGAGCCTCTCTCCACTCTTGGTAATATGGCTAAAGGCCTGCACAGGGGCCGCCGATCCCTGAAACGCCTTCCTGTGGGCAGTGACAGCAGCAGCTTTTAGAAAAGCACCTTGCAGGCCGGGGCTTGGGCCCCATGGTTTTCCATGACGAGGCTAGAATGGAGTCTCCCGGGCCCCAGCTCTGGCCAAACCGTTATCGAAGTCAATTTCCAAATAGAGTCAGCTCTCAATTATTCATAGACTAATGGTTCCACCTCTCATTCCTCGTCACTCTTTCTCTTCCTGCTCTCTGCCAGCTGCCTTTCGGCTCTCCTCGTTCCTGCACCCACCAGAGCGGGAACAGGCTGAGGACTGGAGGTCAGTCCGTGTTAGGCCTGTTAGCGATCACAGCGGAGGGTTTCTTTAAGGAGCAGGCTGGGTGGAATGTGGATTTCGAGCATTCTTGCTACTTTTGTTCCCATTTAGGGACAATATAGGACAGCCTTGATTTCTTTGAGCCCCTGTGCTAAGTCTTGCCAGGAGAAGAAATAGAAGAACTGAAATCCACACATCCAGAGCCAGGTCCCAGGCTGCAGCCGGGAAGGCCTGCCCCGTGCTGCCCTGTCTTGCAGGCCTTGGGTACATGTGTGTACGCACCCAGAATTTTCAAAGGACTGTCTCTCATGGTGGATGGGAGAAAAATGGGTTTTGAGATAAATGAAACACTCAGGGTTTTCCCTTCTTGAGTGGCTCGATTTTTATATTTCCACATCAAATCCATTAGCAAACAAAATATGAAAACAAATTGTAAAAATTCTCATTTACATACTATAGCCGTCACCACCTCTTTCCTAGCAAACAAGACTTCCAAGGCTGAGGGTGGGTTATATTCCCCCAGAACGACACCATAACTTCTCCTTATGTTATTATTAATAATAAATCCTCACTTATATTGACGCATAAGTGCCTGCTGCTATGTTACTTGAAACATACAGAAATATCTTATTTAGTCTTTCCAACTCCATGAGGTGGGAACTACTATTATTCCTGTTCGCAGCAAATGAGACTTACGGAGGTCAAGTCACCTACTCCAGCTTGCTCAGCAATGAAGGGGCCAAACAGACCATCTCACTCAGTCCCCGGACCCCACAGCCTTTGACCCACCAAGCGTGCCACCTTTTCTACACTGTGGTCCACGGTACAGGATTTAGCCTCCTTTCTTGACCAAGATCACAACCACCACCACAACCTAAACCCCAGTTGTAACTGGGGGTCCCCAGCCCCTTTCCTGTCCTCTCCATGTGGCTTCCTGACCCCCAAGTGTCTAGCCTGGGGGCGCCTCTGCTCTGCTAGACCCTCCATCCCATTGCCCAGTGCATGTTATGTGGTTCTTATATTTGTTCTTTCAAAATTGCTAATCTCACACTGTCATTTAGCTTTTCCTGTGCGTATGTCATCTCCCTAGAGTAGGAGTCTCACAGGAAGGGATGGGGTCACGGGTCATGCATATTGTAATTTGTCACTGTTCCTGGCATGATACTGGGCACAGAGTAAGCCCATAACACTCATTTTCTGATTACTTAATCGACCGACTCAAAGGTAGGAACTTCTAGTGTATCTCTCATGGTATTTAACACAGCACAAGGCATATAGCAGATACTCAATACAATTTTTGTTGACTGTTTGAGTGTCAGACTACCCAGAAAAAAGAAAGAGTGAATCCAATAGTTACTGAGCATCTACCATGTGGTTTACATGTACTATCTCATTTAAACTTCACACTAATTATGTGAAGTAAATACTGTCCCTACTTTTCATAAAGCCCCAAATCCACATCTTGTGAAGGGTGATATCAGGGTTCACGAGTGGAGTCTGGGCAGCAGGGTGAGGAGACCTCGGGGACCTGAGGAGGTTGGTCTGGGACAATCAAGGATCACTCTTTGGGACACCCAGCAGTTAGTCATATGGTGGGCAAAAAGGGCCCGGGGTCAGCCAGGCCAGGTCCTAGGAACAGCCTGAAGGTCTGGACTGGGTGTCTCAGCCAGCAGCCCCCAGGAGCTGCCCATGGGGAGTTTCTGTCCCCCGACCTTGGACCTAGTTCTGACGCCAGGCTCTGCTCATGGCCAGCCTTTGTCTTTGAGCAAATGACAGAAACAACTCCAGCCCATTATTTTCCAATTGTTCCTGGACCCGAGCTAGTTCCAGTTGGATAAATCTGTATCAGAACTGAGAGGAGGCTCCCTAGGAATCTGTGGGAATGTGGGGGAGCAGGCAAGATAAGAGACAGCAGGATTAAAAGATTTGACAAAGAAAACATTCGCTTCCATGGAACAATGCCCAGCAGGCTGGTTCTGAAGCATTTGTGGAGTGGGGTTTACATAGTCCGAGAGCAAAAGAGTTTGTGTTACCTCATCTTCTACAATGTTTCAAGTATGCAAGTCTTGCGGGAAATGGGGACCACAAGGGTTCTGGGAACCAGGGTTCCTAGTTCATCCTGCCAGGTCCCTGCTGGCAGATTCAGTACATGCCCGCTCCCGTCTCAAGTACTGAAATGTCCATTTCAAGTCTTAAGGGGAAGGTTGATTGACAGGTGAGACAGACAGACAGAGGGGAGGAGAGCCAAAGACAGTGCCTTACCCCTCGCCGCACCCCTGCCTCCGAATCCCCGCAGGGTGCACGCCCTTGCACAAAAGCTGCTCTATTCTGCTGAGAGGAGACAGAGCTGTCTTTGCCTGAGCTGCAAGAGGGGCCCCTAGACAGGGCTCTGCAGGTCCCTTCCTGTGCCATTTTCAGGAGTCTGGCCTTGACATCTTTCCTTGTTCACTGGTGCCTGTATAGAGTAGGTGTTCCCTGAATATTTGTCGAGTAAATTAGTTCACAGCACTTCAGATATGTCCGTTAACCCATCCCTCTCTGCAGCGCTGTGGCTGGTCCAGGGAGATCTGGTAGGCAAGTTGGAGGATGGGGGAGAGGGGCAGGCAAGGATCCACTAGACAGGTGTGATGCTCCTAGGTTCTCAGAGCGAGGACAGGGATTGGCTCTCGCAGACGTCCTTCCTTATAGATGCAGAAACAAGACCCAGGAGGTGAGGGGACCACACACTCAGATCCAGCCTCCACATGCCCCATCCCTCCCCTGCTTAAGCCTCTTTAGCCCCTTTAATTACTCCCTGTAGCGTATCAAGTCCTACCTCCTTTGCCTGGTACCCAAGGTCCCTCCAGACCCTCCCCTGACTTAACTCTCCAATCTCGATTCTCCTCACACCTCACACCCTCCACTTCTTTTAGTACTTCTAGTACTTTGAGGTTCCTCTACCTCCATGGCCCTTCTCTTTTTCCCCTCTTCATTTGAGAAACTTCTCAATTTGGATTCTACTGTCATCACCTCCTCTGAGAAGTCTTCCCGGAATGCCTCTAGGCAGGCTTAGAGGTGCCCTGTCCTTGAGTCTCACAGCGCCTTGTGCTTTTCTTTGTACTTAGCACCAGCAACGGTGCCTGCCTGGCTTCCTCCTTCTTCTTCCTGGGAGATCTTTGAGAGAAAGGGTCTTATCTTTCACCCCCAGTGCTGCTTGCCTGCCACAGAGCAAGGGCTCAGGGAATGTTGACTGACAATAGCTACTAGTTATCCAAAATAAGCACTTTTAAAAACCTCTTTTCTTATCTTAAGTCATCAAATCCTTACAACAACAACCCTACAGAAGTAGATTATTGTGATGTTTATTATTTTAAAAGCATGTTATTACAATAATGATGGCCATCTCATTTGATAGGAGGGGAAAGGAAAGTACAGGCCCCTGCCCGCCAGAGCCTCTTCCCTCTGCCACTCTTGTGCCAAGCTCATCCTTGCCTTCTCAGGAGTGTTCCCCCTCCTCACAGCCTTTTCCAATTACAACTCTCTCTCCAGTCTCAGTCACATTTTCCATGACACTTTCTATGCCCTCTGGCCCGACAGCCGCTCCTGACCACCCCCTCCCTCCCCACTACAGCATCAACACCAGTGTCTGACACATTGTGATTTCTCCCTAATTTGTGTCCTAACTTCGCCATCTTCCCAACATAAAGGATGCTATGTGCTCCCTCAGGCCAGGGTCTGTGTCTTCTGTTCTTTTTGTCTTCCCTCCCTAGTGCCCAGAAGACTATTACGGGCATGAGAAGTGCTCAGTAAATTCTTACTGATACTTCGTAAGTCAGACAGAGAAAGACAAATATCATACAATATCACTTTTATGTGGAATCTTAAAAAATGATGCAAATGAACTTATTTGCAAAACAGAAACAGACTCACAGACATAGAAAACAAATTTGTGGTTACCAAAGGGGGAAGGGGGGAGGGATAAATTAGGAGTTTGGGATTAGCAGATACAAACTACTATGTATAAAATAGATACACAACAAAGACCTACTGTATAGCACAGGGAACTATATTCAATAGCTCGTAATAACCTATAATGAAAAAGAATATGAAAAGGAACATATACATATATACACACACACACACACACACACACACACACACACACACACACATATATATATATATATATATATAATAAACTAGAATACACTATGCTACTACCAACCAAACGTAAAAACCTAAAACCAAAACCTAAAACCTAA